TCTCCCAAACGGGCCCCAGCGAGTTCGAACATCTGAGCTCGAGCGAGATTTACGTGGGCGCAACCAACAAATCTTCCTCTATCCCGACATCAATCCAGAACGACATGGCGGCGGCATTGGCAATGACGTTGAACTCTGGGCAGGTAGACTGCAAGGTTTCGGATAATATCAGACAGGAGCAGTTCGACCGTATGATAGGGTGAGTTTCTTCGGATTCGCTTGGATACAGAATTTGCATGCTAAACGTCTTCCAGCCCGATCGCGTTCCACCCCGCAAGTGTCGTGTTCGACACCCCGAATCATACACAACTCCTCGAGAAAACCGGTGTTCGTCCACTGGTAATGGGCATCATTGACGAGATGATGGAGCTCGCCTCTGCACAAGGTTGCTCATTCCCCAGCGATTTCCGGGATAAGACGGTCCAAAAAATGATTGCCCTGGACTCTCCGACTACAATGTACTCAGATTTCCAGGGTCGACGCCCCATGGAGGTTGAGACTTTCCTAGGGTCACCGATCAAGTTGGCAATCGAGTCTAACGTTCGCATTCCCCGAATCGAAACAATGTACGCAATGCTACATCACGTCAATATCGCAAACCAGAGCAAGTCCCGACAGGAGTCCCCACCTGCATCCGTCATGGGCCAGCCGCCTCCGCGGTTATCTTCTGCGCCTCCGCAGCAGCGACCCATGACGAATGGTGCACCGCAATTTATTCGTGGAAGCCGAACACCCTCGGGAATGAGCATCCCCCCGCAACAAAGACGAGGACCACCTCCTGGTATGATGCCGAGAGGCCCAGGTGGACCGATGCCGATGCCACCCTCCAACCGAGTTCAGCGCGACCCATCATTGGAGGGACTCGAGGAATTCAGCCATTTGGTTCTCTACGATGAACAGGGCGAACCAACTGTACCGCCTCAGAATGGAAATGGGTACCCCGAGCCAGCACCTGGCACTGCCTCTGAATTGACATTACGGGAGCGCGAGCTGGCCCTTCGTCAACGTGAGTTACAGCTGCGTGAACAGGAGATGAGCATGCGTCGGGGGCCTCCTGGCCCAGGACGCCGTGGACCGGCTCCCTCCCGCCCTGCTACGGCCTTTGATGAAGAAGACGAGGATTACTTCGACCCGATGGATAACATGGGGATTCCCCACATCGACCCTGACAGTGTCGACATGATGAGCATGACTTCCCGCCGAGGGCGCAAGGGCCCCAGCCACAGCCAGTTCCGTAAAAACCCCGAATTTGGTGTAAACGTCCCTCCTTCTGGAGGCAGCCGGGCCTCATCGGCCTTCCGTTACTTTGGCAGAAAACGCGCGAGCGACCGTGTGATGCAAGAAATCCCGGGTCTCCATGATTCACTCATGGATAATCCCATGATGAGTTACTCCTCCAACAGATATGGAGCCGTTGACCGAAACCAGATGCACGCGGATTCTCGAGCCAATTCTTTAACGGCCAGCCACATGGGCGATTACCCACCTCGACCCTTCCCACAGAGCCGGCGAAACAGCCAGACTCCCGTGATTCCCTTCAGCGGACCTCCCGGGCCACATGGACCCCCTGGCCCAGGAGGCCCCCGTATGGGCCGCCCCCCAATTGCGCGTGAACACAGTCTTGGCCCCCCTGGTGGACCTCACAATGGCCAGCCGTCACCTCCTGGTAACATGCGTACGCCGGTGCCCCGGTACCCTCCGGGACAAGGAAACGCGGCTGGGCCGCAGCAAGTTGAGCAACACTATGGGGTGAGCAATGCGTTCCCCGCTAAGGGTCCTCCTAAGAACCAGAATCTGACCGGAAGTGCGAGCGCCAGCGCGGGGAGTGGTGATAGTGGAGCCAGTGCAAATATTGACTCCGAACCCTCATCTCACAGCAGTCAGGTAAGCCTTGGCGGTCAAGGGGTCGCGGCGCCCGTTCATTAAGACGGTTTCCGCCTGCTCTTCCCAATGGCTCACCGGCGCTCCATGATTGAATTCCCTTTTCGACATTGCATTCTTCCTCGGCTTGGACGCTCATCGTCCGCTGAAAATTGGTCATGTTTGGACCTTTTTTGCATCATGGTGTCATTGTGCGGGGACTTTATTCTTCGGTCCCGTGCTCTCGAAGCACAGGTTAATACTCTGCTGTTTGCTTCTTTACATATACATGAGGGACATAGGGGTATTCGTTACTCATCATCTTTTTTTTTTCCTGTTTCGGAGTGTGGTTGGGATAACGAAGTGTTCGTGCGAGTTTTGTCTTTTTTCTTTTTGTGTGATTTGCTTTGCATCGATACTCATCCTGTTTCGCGGCATTATCGATTTTTAATGAGGCCATTACGCGAGCCTAAACTGGGACATCCTTATCCTTGCTGTTTCTCTTCCTCCCACCTCCTTTTTCATCTTTACAGCATGTCGATATAGCGTCGTCGTCGGCTCCCCTGCCCACCTTTTCATCTCTCTGCATGACTGTATAATACCAGCTGGCGCATTCCTTTTTCTCTCCCATCTAGTCTCGTATACGCCTATTGTCTTCATTTTGTTTGTTTTATCATCATTCGCTCCCCCTGGGTATTTCCTTCGTTTGCCACGTCTTTTTCCTTGTCTCTCATCTGGCTTGATGCAAACAGCTTCGTCTTTTATTCTGGTCTGGTCTCTGGCGCATTCCAAAAGAGCGGGAGGATGAATTTATTCGGTTCATTGAGTTGTGTTGATCTGCTTGCTGGGTTTGCGCTTTGCAGAGAAAATTAATACAGGGTGCACTGCAGTCCTCAGATTCGCTGCGTCTTTTGAACAGCATCTTATTCCTCCAAGAAACACATGAATTGATAGACCTTTCCGTTATATTATCGAGGTTGCTACAGTTTATGGTAGTCCAAGTACGTGTTAGTCAAATAAATAAGATAAATTCGAATGCCTATGCATGTTTTGCTCGAAGTAATAGAGTATTTATATCAACACGTGATCATCTATCTGATCGTCAACAATCCCGCGGTCAAATAATGTCAACAACCAGCATAACCTTGGAACCTCAAGCAAAACCCAACCTGCACACAAGAAAAACCACAGAATCTAGAACCGTTTCCCCCTCCTACTTAAGCCAGTTCTAAAAACAAATCACACCCAAAATGCCACCTCCAATCCACCGCCGTCAAGAATCAAACACCACCTACTCCCGCCCCTCAATCCTCCCAGGAAGCAGCAACTACAACACAACAGCAACCCATACATTTAATACAAACCCAAACACCACATACACCTCCAATTACAACGCCAATGCTTCAACCCCTTCTATGTCCGCTGCCAAATCGCGGCAATACGCCCACCTCCATTCCCAGCTCGCACAGCTCAACGCCAACCTCGCCGACACAGAAAACCTACTCCGCATGACTGCCGTGCAGGCTGGAGACATGCGATTCCTAGGTGGATATTCTGGGGCGCTGTTTATGGGGTCTGCGAAGATTCTGGGCGAGGAGGGGGTCAAGGGAAATGCGGACAAAGATAAGAAGACCGATTCCCAAGAGAGGGAAGTCAAGAGGGAGGAGAGTGAGGAGGATTGAATTGATGAACCATCAATGACTGAGTATTGTTGATATGATATGGTGAGTCGGATTGGTCATGATTGTGTAGCGGTGCTTTACAATAGGCTGTGGGAGACGATTTCCATGGCTTATGCTAACATATGTCCAATGTCTAACAGCAGAGATATGACCTCCTTTCTCCTCTGTTTCCTCTATCGAACCGACATATCATCTTATTCCACCACGAATTGACCACCGAGAATGATCGCTGGCTCATCGATGTTATGATGTTCATAACTATTTCCCAGTCATGTTAGCCGTGCTCCTCAAAATTACGGCAGAAGAGAAAGTTTTCTCTGCCTCAAGGCCGAGTCTTACCTGAGTGTTCCTATACCACCGGCCTCGAGAATCAGCGATGTCTCTGTCAACGGCTTTCCAGTCCAGCGCATGGCAAATGCACGCAGGATATGGCCGTGCGCAACGACAAGGACATCACTCTTGGGCTCATCCGGGTTCTCGAAGCAGGGACGCTGGTATTTGTTTTTGATCTCATCGATCAGAGCATCGAGGCGACGAACGACATCCTCGGGGGATCTGGCAGGAGCGGGGAATGTATGTTAGCATGGAAAGATAACACCATAGCAATGTTTAACGCATAGCTGGAATCAAAGCCCTAGAATCATAACACAACGAAGAAAAGAAGCACTTACTCTCCACCGGGACACCCATCTGTCCAGATATTCCACGGCCCCTCGCCCCTCTCAGCCCGCTGCTCCTGGATCTGCTTGCTTGTCAACCCCTCATAGTCCCCGTAATCCCACTCTCTAATCGCCTCCGTAACCTCAACCTCAGCCTCGGTCCGAATCACCTCATTGTGTTCGGGCTTCCCCTGTTCACTCCAAGGCATTCGTCCCCGACAGCCAAGCTCGAGGAGCTCTAGGGTGCGTTGGGCGCGGGTGCGGGGTGAGACAAAGCTAGAACGGCGTGTTAGCTACCTTTGGGGTGGAATAGTGTCAGTAGTGTAGACGAGGTATTTCTTACACATGAGCAAGCTTCTTGGGAACAACCAGTCTGTCGTTTCCGACGAGGGCTTTGCCTGTTGCTTGAATGCGCTTCTCTCCATTGGCTGTCAGTGGTAGATCGGTGACACCGGTGTGTCGGCCATTAAGCGACCATTCTGTCTCGCCGTGGCGGATAATAAAGCATCGAGGAGCCATTGTATGTATTTGAATTGAGTATAGTGAAAAGAAAGAAAAAGGAAAGAAAAGAGAATCCGGTTCAAGTACAAGTTCAGGACCAGGGCTCTCTCTCCTTTGCGTCATGGTGGACCCCGATAACAGGCTTATCACCCTTTTTCTCCCATACAACATTGAACTAACAAAAGATCAACAGTCGACCTTTCAACTAGTCGGCTTGGCTTTTTTTTAATTCTTCTGGTCTAACCATCTTAGCCCGCCGAATAGCCAACCCTTCCCCCAAAAGATGGATATCAAGTTACTACTGACAAGACACCTCAAAACTCTGAGCTGTCTTCTTCCGTGAGATCGGTTTGCATTTCGTGGTGCCTCGAGTTTTGATCTCTTCCACCATCGCATGCCGTAAACACTTCTTGTCCCTGAACAGTTTCACCTTGCAGCTCGGATCGATATTGACATTGATGAAAGCCTCCGCACCTCCATTCTCGAGGTTGGAGCGGCAACCTGAAGACCCCTGCCCCGCGTAGGTGATAGTAGTGCCGACACAGTGCTTGTTCTGAAACAGGTCAAAGGTCCAATGGGGTCTGTAGGCTTGGATTTCTTCGGTAGGAGGGCGTGAGGTGGGGAGGCCAGCTATGTTTGCTGGGAGGAGGAGAGTTAGGGCAAGCAGGGGATGTTGGATTAGCTTCATTTTTTTGGATCGGTGTAGGTTAATTGTTTTTTTTGTTTTTGCGCAGCGGTGTACGCGAACTGAGAGGAATTGAGTTGGAGAATGTATTCTCTTTCTCTTCTATGGTGTTAAGTTTATAATAATAAAGTGCCTTTTCGGTATTGCGTAGTTATGACTGCCATGTTGGGTCTTACGGCGGATTGACGCGCATATTTTGCATATTGGGGGTTGGGGATACACTTTGATGTACTTTTCAATTTACCTTACAGGATATTTTGCATACATCTATGGGTAGGCCTCAGGGTTCTGCTTTGTTCAAATCAACTAGTCTGGTAAAAAAACATCTTGGCCATATCTCTATCGCTGGCTATGACTGATATTAAGACTATGCTGACCGGCCAGGCCTAGGATACCTATTTGACTTTATAGAGTATGTATAGCCTACTCAGTTGACCCCTCTCTGGCCTCCCATCTAATGCTTTTATAGATGGAGTCTACCGCCTTTCTCTCCGCTTTGTTTGTACTCTTTGCACCAAGTGGGACGGCCAAGTTGTCGAGTATTTTGCCTGGCAAATATTCATGCTCATCCACACTCATCCACATCACCAACATGGAACGCCGATTGACGTCTAGAAATGTGAGCCTGGATTGGATTGAGCGAGATGATCAAGATGAGGACACTGTCTCGGCACATCTCATTCAAAACACATACGCTCGGCTGAAACTCCAGTATGCAGAAAAGCTGAGCCAGAATTGGGTTGAACAACTTGAATCACCCAACCAAGCCCTTGAGCAGCTGTTTCTTGCTGCATGCCTGATTGAACTGTGGAGAAGTATGTATGGCGCTATACCAGCTACAGAACAAGATCGGTCATTGAGAGACACATTGCCGTTCCCAGGGTTCGTGGACCTAGCTTGTGGGAATGGTATTCTCGTGTACATACTTCTCATGGAAGGATACAAGGGCTTAGGCTTTGACGCCTGCCGTCGGAAATCCTGGGAGACATTCCCAGTCGAGATACAGGAATGCCTGGAAGAGAGAATCTTTATCCCTCGGCCTTTTGTGGATGTACTGGACTTGCAAGAAATTGGTGTGGAGATACACACCGGCGATTTCCCGGAAAATACATTTATCATATCTGACCACGCAGATGAGCTCACCGTATGGACTCCTATAATGGCTGCCCTATCGAGTCCCTCGTCGCCATTGCCGTTCTTTGTGGTCCCGTGCTGTTCTCGTTCACTTGCTGGTTCTTCGTATCGCTATCCTCCGCCGAAAGAGCGGGGTCCAATACAGAAGAGTGCGAATGGAAATCCTGCCGCATGGAAAGCTGATGATGCTATAGAGCAAAATCTACAGCCTGCGTCTGGTGATTTGAGGGCACTTCGTGCGATCAAGATCGAAGAGAAGACCGAGAGCGGGTTTCTGAATTCAATGATTGGATCTCTCGCTGCAAAAACAATGAGTATTGCCGAGGAAATCGGGTTCGGTGTTGAGAAGGCATGGCTACGCACTCCTGGTGCGATTAACATGGCGTTGATTGGAGGTCGACAGCAGGTCACAAGGGAGTGGCTAAAGAACTCGGGTTCTACAGATTCTCCAACAAGACGAGACCGAGGGGATGCAGTTTTGAAGAATATTATAGAAGTGGTTGAGCGTGAATGCTCCAAAGATGGTGGTATTCGGGTAGCTGCTAAGCTCTGGGTTGAACGGACGAAGAGTCTTCACCAGGGACAGGGGACAGTGCACCAAGCTAAATAATGATACCCAAATAAAACTAACCATCTGTCAATAGCATTCATAGATGACTGCTACTTGCCTGTTGCTATACTTTTCGTGATTTAAGTGCCTTTCTTCTGGTAAACCTGCTAATAGTAAAAAACAATGAGCCCAATCCTCCTGGTCGTCCACCCAATATGCTGAAGGCAAGAGAACAAAGAATGTAGAATCCAGCAGCAATGCCTTGAAGGCAGTGTTCTGAGTCCGGAATGGTTAAGGCACCGATAACAAAAAACACCATTGCCACTGATTGGAGAGAAACTCGAAGCCAACGGCTCCTTGGCAAGGCCACCTCGACCACCAGCGAGAAAAGTACGGGTATAGAGATAATTGCGTAACAGCGTCAAAACAAGCCAAGTGGGTAAGACAAGAGAACCATGCTAGGTTGAGGATAAAGTACCAATGATAGGCTGCAGCTGCGAGACATTGCGATTTCGAGGCAAAACAAGACTAACAGGTCGAAAACGTGGCGTTCAACACAAAAAGGCCTATCTTTTGGCTCTGAATCACGTACGCGAGGGCTAAACAGATGGATGTTGATAGGGCATGTATAAAAATCCTATAGGTTGCCAAGGAAAGATCAGCAACTACATGGCTCCTATGAGATAGGACGGTCCTTTTGAAGGAAAATGCTAATTCACATAACGAGACTAATGAATGGTATTGGTATTTCATTGGATATTCTCTAGATCTATTCATAAACAAAATATAAACTATAGAGTGGGGGGGAATAGAGAAAGGAGTTTGTTAATGTACAATAATGTTACAGACCTCTCCAACTCCGTTGCTATTTCAGTTGAAGATCCAAATCAAAACGCCTAGGCTCCCATTTCAAGGCAATCAAACCGTCAGGCATAATTTAATCACTGCACATCATGCATTAGGTTGAACCTTCGGGGCAAACAGTCTCTTTTCCATCAGCGTTACCATTTTCCGCACGAGCATTTTTAGAGGCCGTAGCTGATGCCTGTGCAGCAGCCTGGGAACTGGCAGGTGTCGATTTTAAGTTTCTTGATGCAGCTTGAGCGGCGGCAGCAGCTGAATGCTCTTTGAGACGTCTCATGCGCTCAGATCGGCCTTCCCCTGGGAGACTGCCCCAGACCGGTTCAATTGAATCGGCGCGCCAGTTGTTGCGGTTCCCGCCGAGTGCGTTACGCTTTGGGGATAGGGGGGCAAAAGTAGAGCCTCCCACACCGGATTCACCCCACATACGGACGCGTTGAAGCTTGCGCAGTTTGGAGAGACCGTAGACACAGACCACCCCAGTCAGAGCAAAGCAGATCACGGAGACACCTCCGAAACCAAAGTCTGATTCCTCAATGAAATTCTTCAAGTTCATGCCATAGAGAGCAGAGAATAATGTCCCCGTTGCGAGGCCAAGTGTTCCAATGCTGAATTTGAGATCCATGAGCATGAGCGAGTTGCGGTTGGCGTCGAGGATAGCTTTGACTCTTTGAGTTTTGTTAGAGGTGCTTTTCGCATATAATGAACGATCAAACTTACACTTCTTCCGTATTGCGAATATTCGTTACCAAATTGCCACTGGCTTGAACAATCTCATCGCACACTTTGTGGTATGACTCCAGAAGCATTTCCACTTCTTGATGGTCATCCTCTTCTCGCTCTTTGCCGATCGATCTCTCGGATAAGTACATCGCTGCCAAATCATCATCGGCCTCCAGCAGATCATCAATAGCATCTCGTACCAGGCGAGCTTTCTGCTCAAATGTACCTAGTTTCTTGGAGTAGATCAGGAGATGTCTGAGCTTATCTCGGTCGATGTCCTCCTCGAGCGCACGAAGAACTCGCACGACGGGATCTCTCACTCCATTAAACTCCTCCTCTAGCCCACTCGTAACACTAATGAGAACGGCTTCCAGCGCCCGAAACTCGTACGGAAGTGATTGACTAGGCTGAGCGGCACCCTGGGATTGTCTCTGGCGGAGCTTTCCTTCTAGATCGTAGATGAACAGCGATTGCATGTATGAATCTGTTGATCCGTACGCGTCGAATACGAGTACTCGGTCCGCTTTAATTAGCACTCGCAGATGCAAGAGATTGATGAGGATTGCGCTAGGTCGCACTAGGATATGAGGGAGTGTCGACGAATCAATCTTGCGTAGATCTCGAGGAAGAAGGCCATACTGTATCGTGATTCATCTATTAGCAAATGTTGAACTCTCAAACTTGGGTCTTCTTTACCAACCTTGGCAATCAGCTCCTGCTTCCGGAACTCTCCATTCACGAGGGTGACGTCTCCATTGATATCAAACTCCGTGCATCGAATCCGCAGCTCGTTTGACGCCTTGGCTGATAGGCTGCGGCCAATATTAAACATCCCCTCCGTCCCTTCATCCATAAGTCCAGGGTTAGTCGGGCCCTGATTCTTGTAGTCGCAAGCTTTATTCCGCCTGAGATCGAAAAGCCGTCGGAGAAAGGGTCGGCTTTTGGTTGACGCATGACGCGAGAATTTCAACTGCTTAGGCACTAATGCCGGGGACAGGGTTGCTCTAGTGGGGTTCGGTTTCCCATGTTGATTGCTGAAAATTGTGGTATCCAGTGTTGCGGGGCCATGGGGAGCATCAAAACGCGACCAGCTCGAGAGTTTCGGGGATGGTCCTGTCGAGAAGCCTTTATCGCGGCCGGCAAGACGCTTCGGATAAGCGCATGCTGATAGTGCGGCTGAGAACCCAGACTGTGATCGTAGGAAGCGCAATAAAGAGGCAGAAGGCGCAGACAGCCTCGGAGACAGCATGTCTCTGGATTATCGACCAAGCTGTACGCAAGTTCTCCCGATCAGATCAGATACGCTTTTTTCCGCTGCCCGGAACAATGTTGGCCCGATAATCACGCTGTACTACGGAGTATACAATAACTAGTTAATCACTATAAAAACACCGCTCGCTGTTTCTCGAATGTCTTGTGCTCTGTCTGGAATTATGATTCTATCTAGGTATAGAATGCTACCAACTGCTTAAGTTAAATCATTTCCTTGTCGGCTCAGCGCCCAGCCAACCAGGTCATCACCCTTGCCCTTCTCCATTATCTCCCTTTTGCATTGAATCACCCAGATCAAGTGTGCCTCAATCACCTCATTGTTCCGAAACCACAATTCATCCCAAGGGTTGTGTTCTAAATGGCTTCGAGTTTCGGAGTCTAAGTTCTCCCACACGGTAACCCATTCACGAAAGCCCAGCCTCAACGTCAAGATATCGTCAAGGCCAATCCTGAGATAATCATGATCATGAACCTTTGCAACAATAGGCTGAATGTCCAGAATGACATTTTTAATCTCAACGATGTCGCTTACCTGCTCAAGTCGCCGGTATCGTCTTAACAGCCTCTCCCACCCACCTAAAAGCAGATATCCTAGCCGCCGTCGCTCGCTATCTAAGCAGCAGTCCAACCATTTCACAAGTACTTCACGAAGCTTTTCACGCCCCTGATCTTTAGCAAAACAATGGTTACAGGACACACCATCAATGAAACTTCCGGTGATCTTGCATTCGTCCCAGTTTCTCAAGTCCGAGGCAGGGTTGGTGGTAGGTATCCAGTGATTGAAAGTGGCACCCAGACGAAACGCGCGCATTTCCTGCCAGCGCGAACATCCAGGGCAGCGCAACATCCACATAGTCCAGAGAGAATCAAAAACGTCGTTACGATACACGCATTGAACAGGGGCCTTCACGGTCGGTCTCACACTTCTCATTATGGCAGGAAAACCTGGGAAATATCGGTCCAAGGCACTTGTAAATGGCAGGCGGCGGCTCGGCACTATAGGCACCTTGTCTGTGCCTCGCTGCACAATAGATGAGAGTTCACCACGCCGGAAACGACATTCATTGCACTTGCGCAAGTGCCGCTTGAAGCCGCATCGCTCTCTCTCAATGAGGCGTGCTTCGTGGTCTAGAAGAACCTGCTCTTCCTCTTGTGTGATACTGCAGTATTCATCCAGGCTCAAGCCTTGGAATGTGATCATTCCGCTGTCCTGAAAGCTGGCCAACCTTGCACCCCTATCGCGCACATCATGGTTCGGTCTCAATGTGTTGCACCTGGAGGCGAGATAATATCGACGCCGTATTTTCCGGTCCTCATCCCGGGAGTTGGATTGTTCTTTGTGTAAATGGTACTTTTTGCGGGATTTCCCTTCTCTTGTTGGCTCCCAGCTCGTGTAAGGACTCGCGCCCGCAGATCTTGGCAATGGCTTGCGGTACTGCAGTCGTAGGATATAATGGTTGTCAAAGGCTGTATGTGGAAGCATATTGAGACAGATACTACATGCCCAACGTGCAGAATACCATTCTTTGGACGTGAAGTCAGGGTCGAGGTGGTTGTCCCTCGATCGAAAGACGGGCGTGACTCCTCCGATCTCTTCTCGGCATTCAAGTTCAAGCAACCTCTCCAGTAAATGAGTTCGCTGTGGCTGAACCACTGTGCGGAATTTGGAGTTGGTTTGGCTGATGGATGTCAGGCCAATGGGGTCCAAGAGACGGAAGATAGAGCACAGAATTTCAACAGGCAAAGACCCAAGAGATGGACGGTCGAGCTCCATCTCAGATGAAAGCGGTGTTTTTTTTTAAAGCAAAACTGGAAACTGGTGGCTATGATATAGGGGATGGGCAAAAGATGAACCAGGCTTTACTTTGTATATGTAGTCTTGGCCTATTATCTATGGCGGTGTAAGCTAAACTCCACTTGGTCATGGCATCGGAAGATTGGAAGAATTGGACTAAAATAAAGAGAGTAAAAAGAGAAACATCTACTTCCCCATACTGAAACTATCTCACATCCACTGCATTTACCATTGAAAGCTATATACAAAGTGCATTTGCCCCTCTCTCGTTGACACTTGAAACCAAACTTTTAGGCAAAACGCTGGACCAAGAAACAGAATGCTCAATGCTCGCAAGAATGCGCAAAATCCATTGGTATCTTGAAATACTTGAACAATTCCACCGAAAACCAACCGCTCACCAATCGTCGTCGTTGTCTTTCTCGTCATCTATCAACATAGTTAGCATATAGATCCGCATTTACGTGTTGAAATTGACATACCACTTCCGCTGACTCTTTGTTTCCGCTTGTTGAGAGCATCTTGCAATGCGCCGGCCAAGCCACCTTGTGGGGCGCCTCCTGCATTGGGGCTTGTGGCCGACGACTCGTTAGCAGCACCGGGTACCATAGCTTTACTTCGATCGTTCTTTTCCGTATCCTTGACCTTGCGCAAGCCTCCGCCTCCATGGCCACCAGAAGCTCGGATGGATGCTAGCAGATCGGTGTGCCCACCGGTGGGCTTTGGCAAGGGTGGCGCAGCACCGCCAGGGGGTGGAGGTGGAGGAGGAGCACCACCTCCACCCCCAGGCGGTGGAGGCGGCGGCGGTGGTCCACCAGGTGCCCCCGAAACAGGCGCTGGAGGAGGGGGGGGGGAGGCATTGAGGGGCCACCACGGCCCGGAGGCGGAGGGGGTGGGGGGCCACCGGGCGCTGCAGAGCCAGGTGGCGGAGGCGGAGGAGGGGGAGGAATGCTAGGAGAATACGTAGGTGCCGAGGGCGGGGCGGGGGGGAGGTGAAACTGGTCCTCTTGGTGGAGGAGGAGGAGGAGCTGCTGCATGAGATGGTGCAGCTGGCACAGGCCGGGGCGCTGGCGGGGGGTGGAAGTGGAGGTGAAATAGGGCCTCTGGCGGGTGGAGGAGGAGGTCCAGTTGTAGTGGCCATGGGCGGCACTTTGGGAGGCAGTTGAGGTGGTGCTGCTGGGCTTGCTGTGCGAGGCGGCGGAGGGGGAGGGCCACCTGGTGCAGGGCTACGGCTGGGGGGTGCCGGTGGTGCAGACACCTTGCGGTCACCAGAGAAAGGCGGGGGTACCCCAAATCGAGATTGACTCGATTGATTGTATTGGCTATCGTCCATCGGTGTCTTTGGTGGTCGCGGGGGCGGCGGAGGCCCTGCATTGACGTTCGAAATCGCGCGTGGACGCCGAGGAGGTACAGGGCCGGCGGGCTCTGCGAATTTTCCTGCGTCTGCAAATGGAGGCGGCGCATTGAATCGTCGCGCAGGCGGAGATGGCTCACGAGGGGGGAGGGAAACCGGTTCTTCTGGTGCTTCAGAACGTGTCTTCCGTGACGGCGGCGGCGGCGGTGGTCCCCGTCTGCTTGTCGAGCTGGAACCTGTGTCTTGGGGACTGATCGAGGTTACTTTCGGAGCGGGAGGTGCAGAAGGTGGCGGTGGAGGAGCAGCTTTCGGCTTATTGTGATCCTCAGCAGGAGCAGACTCGGCCGCCCCTGCCTGCTTCTGGTCAATCCAAGCTTTGATGAATTCGGAATTCTCGGCAATTTGGTCTTCGGTAATTCCCATCCCCTTAAGCTCATCCAGCAGCCCTTTCCAAGAGGGGTCACTCGTATCAAATGGTAAATCTGGCTTAGCTGGTGGCGGGTTTGGGGACAGCATCGGGGGTGGAGGAGCAACCTGTATCGAAGGCGCAGGGGCTGTCGGCGCTGGTGTACTTGGAGCTGGGTTCGAACGATGCAACAAGCTGCCAAACAAAGACCGTCCTACTTTCCCATTGGTAACGGGAGCAGGTCCCTGGCCTCGGGTAGATGCGAAAGGAGTCTTGATGGTCTCTTTACTTGCATGTTTCTCGCGCTCATGCACCTTCTTGATGAAGGTCTTGGCCTCCTTCTCGTCGACAAAGGACAGGCCGGCGGGACAGGCTTCGAGTTCGAATGTATGAAAGAAGGTTCGGTCCTGGTTGTAAGAGAAGTTGTCATAAATCTCCTGATCCCAGATCACGCCCCTGCCAGCGGGCTGCATAACGCATTGTTAGCACTTTACTCTTATCTCCAACACCAGTGTGGACAGCCTACCGAGACATCGACTATTTTAAGCCAGAAAGTCCTTCCCACGAGGTCATTGCAAAGGACAACAGCCCCTTGAATTCCGGTATATGTCCATTTCTGTCCATCCGGGTAGGCGACGTAAAGTCGCGCGACAGCTACGGCGAGGATCTTGTTGGCGGGTTTGGGGACATTCCGCTTGACAGTTTCCTTGTCGGCGTCACTGAGAATGGAGGGCATGGTGAATCAAGGTGGTCCCCTCACTAAATGGAGAGAGGAAAGGTGATAGTTCGAAGGGTGGTTACGTGAGTAGAGCACACATTGCAGCCGGGCGGGTGACTTCGAAGGATGGACTGACACCCTCAACACACCGACTGATACGGTAGTGGTGGAAGGTACAAGGTTTCTTTCTCGATTGATTAGATTCGAAGGCCGGGGTGTTATAGAGAGGAGCCGACCGGCGGTTGCCTTGAGAGTTGGAGAGGATGAACCGGAGGTGAGAAGACGTAGGCGGGGCGGACCCAATATACACCGGAGTGACCTAGGCCTACCGCAGCACCGCCATACCGGCACGTGGTACTTTTCTTGTACTATTCAAAGTGTGGCTAAGGTCACTATACATATGTTACTTGGGAAATTTCCCGTTTGATATTTTGATATCTTAAATCTGAAATCAAACATCTTCAAAATACAAATTAATAGAATATTGTTGACATGCTTCTTAAGTGATGAGGACTGCAGAATGCGGTCTAGCGTGCCCATTCAATGTATGCTATGTATAACTATCATACAAGGAACTATTTGAAGATGACCTCACTTCATTTCTAGACTATGCGGTGTGTGATCATAGATTATTAGCTAATATATGTAAGATGTAGTTAACTATAAATGTGTTAAGAAGACCTCGGTAATGTATGTATGGATCATTGTCGCAACTAAGGTAGAATGCTAGTATTTACCTAGGTATTTTCTAGATCAAAAGCAGTTTCCTTCCTCATGTTTTCAAATCTTTATATTAAAATCATGACTATGTAGCATTTTAATCAAATCATGCCTACTCTGAGACATACCCCCAAGTTGTGCTCCTTGCTCCCCGATGCACCTACTAGAAATAACCATTAAATTATAGATACAACCTTGGAAGCCATTTATTTCTTGTTACCAAGGTTCTTGTAGACAAGTAAACATGTTTAGGCAACTTCTAACTTCTATCATGCTACCTAGGTATTTGTTGCAATCCGACCACCGACGTCATCCCGCTTAGGATCTATAAATCAGACATCCAACCAACCTCCAAGACCTATTTCTTCAACTCACCATCAAAGAAATCACCAAGTTTATTTCATCTATCTACCAGCAAATAAGAGCTATTATTGGCTAGTGACAACTCAACAAGAAGCTCTTCATATCTCCAAAATGCCGGTCATCCCCGAGTCGTCGGACTTCCCATCTGCGCCCCAAAATGGAGGCAATAAGGCCGAGGATAAGCCAGGGCAACAGCCCCAGAAAGCGACTGCAGCAGATTTCTTGTCGAAAGGACCTCAGATTCCAGACAGTAAGTTGACTACCAGACCTGCACAGGCCCACGACTGACACTTTGTAGATATGCCTCCCAAGGCTTCGAAAGAGGAGCTCGAAGCACGCGCGAAGGAACTGAACGAGTCATCCAACTGAGAGGTCATTGATCAACAATTTTTTGTCTATCTATATTTCGTTTAATAGCAGTTTCCGCCATTCCAGGCAATTGCCCCCAAGTCTAGTGTGTCTACAGCGGGTCATAAACCAAACTAGGTCTAGTATGTATACATACAATACAGAAAGTACCTAGCTGCCTAATAATTACAAACCGAAGACCAAAGCAGACAAAATAGAACAAGTGTCCTTGGAATTCAGCTTCTTTTCTTCAGAGGCTGCGTCTACTCCCAACCAAAGGATCTCTGGAGGCTGGCTTAATCGACACATTACGTCATGCATCATAGCACACGTGATCACGCGACATCTCATTGACTGGACCCCTCACTCATCAACGCGTTAGGAAGTGCTCCCAATGCCTCCAGAACGGTCTAATGTGCCGGTGAAGCTGTCTCTACCACTGGTAGGTGTTCCACCATCTCGGAGTAGGCTTACCGCTAACCCCCATTAAGCAATACCAGCAGGAGCTCTTCACCGAACTACGCGCCGAAGATGAGCTAGTCATCCTTGCACGGGGCCTGGGGCTTCTGCACCTAATAACAAATCTCCTCCATTTTTACGACGCGGCGGGAAACAATCTGGTCCTGGTGGTGGGTGCAGATGAACGCGAGAATGAATGGATCGGAGAGGGTATGTGGATTGGTGTACATCCCAGGTCGGACGCGTGCTAGAAGCTGATGGATTCTGAACCCAGCATTGGCGGAACATTATGCTACCAGCAAGTCTCCTCTTGCTAGGGGGTTGAAAGTTATCAATACCGAGAAAGCTACGGTACCGATGCGGTGGGTTTCTCATCTCCGCCATGTCGATTACGGCGTATTGACAAATTCCCAGAGAGAGAATATACGGCGAAGGAGGTATCCTGAGTGTGACATCCAGAATATTGGTTGTGGACTTGTTATCGAGTATGTATGTTTTAGTATAATGGCTCAAGACACTCGCTGATCTTTCTAGAGCTTCTTGATCCCGAGAAGGTCACTGGGATGGTCATTTTGCATGCTGATAAGGTTTTGGCGACTTCCCTCGAAGCTTTCATTGTCCGAGTCTACCGGCAATCGAACAAGCGTGGCTTCTTAAAAGCATTCTCGGACTCCCCGGAACCATTTACCATGGGCTTTGCCCCGTTGGCTAATATGCTGCGCAACCTTTTCCTACGCAAGGCATCACTCTGGCCTAGATTCCATGTTTCTGTTGCTGAGTCCCTAGAAGGAAATCGCAAGGCAGAAGTGATCGAGTTGGAGGTTCCTATGAGCGACAAAATGAGGGAAATTCAGAATGCTGTTCTGGAATGCGTAGAGATCAGCATCACTGAGCTCAGGAAAAGCAACACTGGGCTGGATATGGAAGAGTGGACGTTGGACAGTGCTTTGCACAGAAATTTTGATATTATTATCAGACGTCAACTAGACCCAATCTGGCATCGTGTGAGCTTTAGGACAAGACAAATTGTCAGTGATTTGACAAACCTACGAGAAGTCCTTCAGTGTGTCTCCCACATGTCTTTCCTTTTTTTTATACTGACAGCTCTGCAGTGCTTTACTAAGCTACGACGCGGTATCTTTTGTCAAGTACCTCGATACTATCGTGTCTGCGCATGCTCCGCCTCCCGGCTCCAACAGACATAATTATTCTCCGTGGCTTTTCCTCGATGCTGCCCATGTTCTTTTCCAGACGGCCAAATCACGAGTCTACGAAGGCAAATTGAACAATGAACTAACCCGCCTTTCATCTTCAACGACCTTTTCTTCTGAGTTGAACCCGGCTCTAGAGGAACTGCCAAAGTGGAGTGTCCTATCAGATGTCCTTGCCGAAATCGAATATGATGCTTACCTCCATCCTGCGAGAATGGATCAATCAAATAGCACCATATTGATTATGTGTAGTGATCAACGAATATGCCGCCAGCTTCGCGAGTATATCGGCACTATGCACTCCAAAATTTCTCAAGGGCCCGGATCCAAAGAAGATGATGATCCTAGTGAGGACAAGCCTTCCGCGGAGCTTATGATGCGGCGTCGGCTGCGAGACTATCTCAATTGGAAAAGGTCTCTCACAAATGTCAACAAAAATTTGTCTCAGTCAGTACAGGACGAAAGATCTGGAAAATCATCCGAGTCATCAGCGGCCCAGAGTGTGCATCAAGGACGGCCTCCCCCAAACAAACGTCGTCGAGTACGTGGCGGCGGCGCGGTCACCTCAGCTGCAGGCCGTGTGCCAAATAGCAGTGTCCAAACCGAAGTCGAATTGCCCGGTCAGGTCGTCAGCTTGCTAGACGAGATTCAACCTACCGAGGTGGAAGAAATGCAGAAAGAGGAAGTTATTGTCGACGAACTGGAGGATATGGAAGATTTCTACGAATTGTATGATATGAACGATCTAGTCCTGATACACCCTTACGACGGTGACATGGATGAGCATATACTTGAGGAAGCACGTCCGCGATACATTATCATGTACGAACCTGATCCCGCATTCATTCGAAGGGTTGAGGTATATCGCAGTTCCCATTCGGGGCGAAACGTGAAGGTTTATTTCATGTATTATGGTGGCTCTGTCGAGGAACAGCGGTATCTGAGTGCTGTCCGACGAGAAAAAGACTCATTCACAAAGCTGATCAAAGAGAAGGGGGTAAGCTACCCAGCTACACACCTCAAAGTACTAGCTAACGTGATTTTCAGAACATGGCAGTCACCTTGACGCATGACAAAAAGGCTGAAGACCCCCAGGAGCAATTCCTCCGGACAGTTAACACCCGTATTGCTGGAGGAGGGCGACTGGCAGCTACAGCATCCCCTCCTCGGGTTGTAGTTGATGTGCGGGAATTCCGCAGTGCTCTACCATCTCTGTTACATGGAAACAACATGATTGTGATTCCCTGCCAGCTCACCGTGGGTGACTACATTCTCACTCCAGACATTTGTGTCGAAAGGAAATCGATCCGTGATCTCATAAGCTCGCTCAAGAACGGCCGCCTCTACAACCAGGCCGAGACCATGATGCAGTATTACAAGACCCCGTTACTATTGATCGAGTTCGATCAAAACAAATCTTTTACTTTTGATGCGTTTGCCTCCGTTCCAACAGGGCCCACGTTTATGACAGACTATGGTTTCTCATCTTCCGGCACTGCAACCAGCACTAGCAGCAGCTCGCTTGCTAATCCGTCTAATCCAAAGTCCGCTCAGCATTTACTTGTGCTCCTTACTCTCGCCTTCCCACGCCTAAAGATCGTCTGGTCTTCATCCCCTTACCAGACAGCCGAGATTTTTGCAGAGCTTAAAAAGAACGCCCAGGAGCCAGACCCACTCCGTGCTGTTCAGCTCGGCCTTGATATTGATATATCTAATTCGTCTGGCTCTGCCGACGTCATGGCTGCCGCTGGGATTGAGCACCGTACCTTCAATCTTCTTCCACAAGACATGTTGCGAGCTGTTCCAGGTGTTACACCCCAAGCTCTAGAGCGGCTGATCATCGAAACGGACAATATTAGTGATATCGCCAACATGGATGTCGAGCAGCTGGATCCGCTGGTTGGTAAAGAAGCTGCACGTAAGATCGTTGCTTTCTTCCAGAAAAGCGTATTTGACTAGTGGGGAATCTGGTCTGAAGTCTCCCGTGCTTTTTTTTTTCAAATTCAATCATAAGTTCGATGCAAATAATAAGTTCACAAAAAGGCTGCTCAGGTGTGTGTACATCAACACAAATGCGGTAATGTGTAACAAATACAACTATATCCTATCACATCTCCATATTTTGCTCAAATCAACTAGAAAAAGCAAATAAAAAGTAGCAAGCAGCCGAGACTTCCGAGTTCTGGACTCTCAATCAATTTGAACATTTGAACCTGGTCTACCCCATAAGACAACTTTCCGTCTTGGCGACGATCGTGCAGATCAGCTAAAAACAGAACAACCCCCATTCGACAGCCGAAGCAAGGGCCCCTGAGAAAGAGTGGAGATAGTAATGGGTTTTAAGGCCAAAAATATTATGGCAGACTCCTGACGTCTTCAACTTATCGCCATGCATCTAAAGACTGTGCTGACTCCGGTCGCTTTGGCGGCTGCTGTCGGTGCTACCAGTAGTGTGCCCGATGTTGAGCCGTGTGCTCAGGTTAGCAAGTTGGTGGAAGACGCCAATCAAGATCAGAGTACGTCATAAACTCGAAATCATCAATTAGGTGGTCACTAACGATCACAGCAAATCCCATTGTGCCTCATGATCTGGCACATCAATGTCTGCTATCTATGCCCTTTGACTCGGGCCGCGCCGTTGATTTCCTGGTTCAGGTTCGCAAGATCCTCGAGTTCCAGTCGACTATCGATATTTTAAAGGGTAAGGGCTATCAATTTAAATGAGAGTGTCCTGGCTAACTTGTATTACTAGATCCTCCATCGGGGTATACCATGCCCTCCACGGATATCATGAGGGAAATCGATACAATTATGGGCAAGGCCAAAAGCAACAGCTATACCAGCCAATTTGAGATGGACTTGGAAATTAACCGCCTTGTCAAAACTGCTCATGATGGTCACCTAGCTTTCCAACTATGCTCGCAGTCGATCTTCACATATCAAATCGATATGCCTCTAGTGTCAATCTCAACAGATGGGCTCGCACTTCCCCAAGTGTACGCTTTAGGTATGTTAAGCACTATACCTCTGTCAAAACGCCGAACTAACATGTCAGATGATGCAAAACTCCAGAAGGTCGACCCAGACGCCGTCTCGCCTTTAGTATCCATCAATGGCACCAACGTGGCTACGTACCTTGAATCATATGCCAATGGTCAGAATCTCCAGGACCGCGATGCACAGTAGGTAGCCGTCTGCAACTTTGGTATTGGACCACCCTAACTGTCCCAGGTACAACCGAGTATTTCCGGCGCCAGCCCGTAGTGTCACCAACACTCCGACTAGTGTGAATGGAATCTGGGCTTCCATTGGAGACTGGACTGATGGCGCTCAACTGTCCCTCAAGTTTGGAAATGGCACAGAAAAGACTATTCAGAAAACAGCCACACCGAGCGAAAAGTTCTTTTCTTATAAAAACGGCACGAATCTCTACGAGATAGAGTGTCTTCCTCGAGACTTGTCTACAGCTTCGAGCAGCCCATCCGGCGCCGAAAAAGCCTCCTCCGAGATAGCAGGATTCCCCACCACTACCTGGCGCAACTCAGCTAATTCAATTGCTGGATATTACTCCAAATTAGCAGGACTGGAGGACACGGCAATCATATTTCTGCCCACGTTCTCATCCAGCGCATCAGAGGTCGCTAAGATTGCGGTTGACTTCTTGCAAAACAGCACAGAATCTGGGAAGAAGAATGTCTTGATTGACCTCTCATCCAACCCCGGTGGATACATGTCTATTGGCATCGACCTGTCCCGTATCTTCTTCCCCAATGCTGTCCCATACACGGCGACGAGGTTCCGAGCACATGATGCAGCCAAGTACCTCACAAAAGCATACTCGCGCGACAACAGCACAGATACAAGTAATGTTTTTGCATATCGGCAGATGGTTCGGCCTGACCAGAAAACCGACTTCAGCTCGTGGGAGGATCTCTACGGGCCGCATGAGATTCTGGGGAGCTCTGCTTCTAGCCTACTAGCCAACTTCAACTACACCTCCACCTCCTCGAAGAACTTCCCCATCAACGGTTACGGGCCAGTTCCGTTGGACCCAAGCAAATCACTCTTCTCGGCGGATAACGTCGCTATTGTAAGTGATAATTTTCCACACAAAGAATACAGAAAAGAGAAGACTGGCTGACACAAACTACAATGACAGATCACAGACGGCGACTGTGTCTCAACTTGCGCGTTCTTCGTGAAGCTAATGAAACGTCAGGGTGTCCGCACAATCACCTTCGGCGGCCGTCCACAAAAGGCACCCATGCAGGGCGTCGGCGGTGTCAAGGGCGGCCAGTCACTCGGTATCAACTATATCAACGGCTACATCGAACAGGCGAATGGCCTCATTAGAGACTCGGCTAACAGTGGATCGCCACTCTTGACATCTGCCGAGTGGAAGGCATTCAATGAGTCCAGCCCGAGTACGACGGCGTCGCTCCAGTGGAGTGGCAACCTGAATCTGCGGAACGAGTATGACCCGGACGATGGCCAGACACCGCTTCAGTTTGTTTATGAGGCTGCTGAATGTCGTCTTTTCTATACGCTGGATAATTATTTGGAGCGGGAGACCGTTTGGCAGGCTGCGGCAAAGGCTATGTTTGGGAATGGGCAATGTGTAGAGGGATCAACTAAGGGAAAGGGCAGTTTGGATTCTTGATCTGACTGTGCGGAAACGGGATAGAGCATCTACAACTTTGTTGCTCACGCCGGATCTGTGAAAGAATTTGAGACTAAATGTTTATATGAATTGAGCGATGCCGACTAAGTGTAGATTTTGGTTTTCTGTGGCAGCGACGGTTACCGCAAGCCCTAGACAACGCCATGGCCAGCCTGCCCTCTTAGCCTGGTTTGTAGCAGATAGTAATGGAGCATCTTGGCCCATTATACCAACTTGCACCATGTACTTTCTTTATATTTTATTACATGGGCTGAAATTGACTGCTGTTTAGTTACGATAATGATGTGTCTGATACATCTTTAAATTAGCCTACAGTCTTGAAAGGAAAGAAGCAAGTATAAAAATAGTATTTTCAATTCTCGTGGCCCATTTCATGACTCTATCATAAAAGAACGAAAAGAAAAGCAAGTTGAGGCTGAGCAGAGTGAACACACCGCATGCAATGCAATGCAGGAAAACAAGCACACAGGTTCATGATGTGTGCGAAGCAATCATTTTTAGTCTCTGTCATGATCCCAAGATATTTGCAAAAAGGACGAAAATGGTATCGAGGGTGGATCAACCTTGGAAAATCCAAAATCGCCAATGGACAAACACCAAGGGTCCTCTGTTCGATGGCTTCTAGCCCGTAAAGGTTGTCGCAGTAGCGCCAGAATGAAGGGGTGTCCCTATCATCATACAAGCCGAGGTGAGGAGCAGCGTCGTAGGCTGTGGTGATTGATGCTCTTGGTCCGTTCGAACGAATATACAGATGGAATCGGATGTTGAAAGTGCCTCGCGTGGCAAGTAGTCAAAGGCAGTTTCGGAGCATATGAGCGCGACAGCACTGTGCCAACGGTGGCGAGTAGGAGGAGAGGGATTTGGCGAACATGGAGAATACCGAGGGGGGATGTATCCGGGGTATTCTTGCAGGGCAGAGCATCGAACTCTGGGGGGAGCAGGGGATGAGCTTAGAGCTCGTCGACATCGATCTCCTTCTCGTCCTCGCTTTCGCGGTCCTCGTCGAACTCGACGTTGTCGTCCAAGCCTTCACCACCGTAGGTATCGGTCTCGTTGATCTTGGCGTGCTCAGGCAGCTCGCCGTAGGCCTTAAGAGAACGGGCCTCGTCGGCAGTGTACTTCATGATAACATCACCTTTCTCGTCCTGGTAGTCACGGAGCGAGAGGAGAATGATGTCACCCTGGTTGATCCAGACCTTCTTGCGGAGCTTGCCACGAATGTGGGCCAGACGCTTCTCGCCGTCGAAGCAGAGTGCCTCTAGGCGACCGTTGCCCAGCATCTTCACAACCTGGGCGTACTCTTGGCCCTCCTCCTTGAAGACGAGTTCACGCTTCTCATTGTCGTTCTCGTTCTTGCCGCGACGACGGTTCTTACCACCCTGTACTTGGTTGTTAGAATGTGTCCCAAAAAGTAATATCGGTGGCTTAAAAGAGAAACCCCTTCCGCGAGTCCAAGAAGTCACCTCGAGGGTAAATGGCTACCCTTGAGTGGGAGACGGTGGTGTGGCGAGGAAATTATCATCAACAGGAGGGGCTGGATATTTTGCGCGCTTACCTTTCCCTTGTTCTTGGGCATAGTGGTTTGGGTTGACCTTCACCTGGTCAAGTCTCTCTGTTGTAGATTTTTTTCTGTAGATCAACGAAGATCTGAAGAGGCCTAATCGAGGTTGATTAGGGAAGGGAGAGTGGAAGAAAGAAGGAGGTGGGGGTTCTGTGCACGGTATTCAAATCTTTTTTCTTATGTAATCAGGCACTGGCTGCCCAGTGGCGTCAGTGACCTCTTTCGCCCCCGCTTACTGTAAATTTCTGCCTTGGTGCCTAATTTCGGGGTAGATTTGACCGCCTGGTTTTCGATTGGCAGAAAAAGAGTGGCGAGAAAGAAACAATGTCAAGCTTGGAAGTTTGCAAGGGCATTTCTTGAGGAATTCCCTGAGGCCTTGCAATACATGGGGCTATCAGATCTGCTAAGAGTCTGAGTGTTCATTTCAATTACAGCTGTCTTGCTTTCCGTGCGGCCATCCTGACAAGCAAGCAAGAGACTACTTTATCCACGCAATCTCCGAAGATTTGGCACCTCCCGAGTACATTCACAATACATTCGTGAAACTTTTTCTTGTTGCCTCGAAGATATATCTCTGAAGCTGTATCCTGAACCTCCAATTGTCCCTCCGAAGTGTCCATAAACGCTCGGTTCTGTTGAATATTTTGTGGAGTTCAATCCGACATGATATCAATGTGTTACGACTCTCCTTATATTTCACAGTCCAAACCAGCATACCTTCACAACCGCCAATAGCCCTTTTCTTTATCATGGCGACGAAGTTTGGCACATCTACAAACAGTCTGGTGCTTCGGTATTGGCCCAAATGCCACACCCCTCCTGTTGCCGCACGCTACGTGAATTCCCCGACCCATCCGATCCGGCCCAAGATTGTCGACCTCTGCGCACATCGTGAAAGAAACACATTATGGTGGCGAGTTTCGGTGTCATCACTCCAGCAAAGCAAGCGGGTGGTTCGCTCCTGGTGCGCGCGCCGGGTGCGAATTGCTATCGAGCAGGCTCTGAAGCAGCAAGGATTGGATAAATTAGGGAAACCGCTCGTTTCTGAGTCTTCTTTGCAGAAGAGAAATTTGTCAGGAACCATGGACATCTACATTCAACCGCCGTGTGTGGCACAGGACTTCGAGACGGTCCAGAAGGATGCAAATCATCTAATATCCTTGCTTTTGAAACATGAATCACCACGGAAGTGACCTATTGTCGATGAGTGACACTGAAAAGGTGAAGCGCAACCCGGGGACATCATGCGACCCTGGGTAATTCAATGTATATTATCATAGCATCTTGTATCATACTAGCAGTCGGCTGTTGGACTATATTCTGTACATCATCTGGGCAACATCGCGATTATGGCGTTTGGGGGAAATTAGTTTGCATCTGAGATTCAAGTTATCTCAACTCTTATTCATTCCATTCATTATACCCTCCAGTTTGAAAATTATTGTTCGTTGTTGACTTCCAGGTACAGAAGTAAATATAGAAACGCGAGTTATCTTGGCCCCGTACATATCTCGCTAAATGCCGATCTGGCGGAATCAACGACCCGGGGGTCTAGGCTAAAGACTCACTTGACAACCACCACCATTTATCCTAAACCTCCCCCTCTTCAATCCTCGCTATGCTGGTTTCTTTGACAGTTGGCAAGGTAGACGCGGGTGTCGCAGTGCTCCTCACCCAAGACAATCGACTCGTAAGCTCAAACCCCTGGTCGCCTACTCCCTACTCCCAGGCATCGACAACATGCAATTCTACGAAACATCAATAACAAACAGACCAATCTTACTGACAAATTTCCGCGCAGATTGAATTCCCCTCAGTCCTCCTCCCGAACAACATTAGCTCAGGCAGCATTGTCGATATCACTGTTTCGCGCAACCATGCCGCCGAAGCAGCGAGCGCAACTGCTTTCCAATCCCTCCAGAAGCGAATCCTAAATACCTACGGTCTCAAGGCCCCGTCACCACCGATTCTGCGCCTGCGAAATGCAACCCAGACCTCACTCGTTCTCGAGTGGGACCCAATCGACCTAGCCACTGCATCCCTGAAATCGCTATCCCTCTACCGCAATGGCTCCAAGGCCGGCTCCATACCCCGCCCGCTGGAGACACGCAGCACAAAAATCAGTGGTCTGGCCATTCACTCCGAGTACTCTTTCCATCTGGTCCTGCGGACCACCGCTGGCACCTACCAGTCGGAGAAGCTGACGTGTCGCACACACAAAATGACTGATCTCTCCGGTATCACTGTCACAACGGGTGTCCTCGATCCGCAGCAGAAGGAGGCACTCGGTGCTGCATTAGACCGTATTGGAGGCAAGATGATCGACTCGGTCCGTATCGACACCACTCACTTCGTCTGCACAGAAGGACGGGGCGCGCAGTGGGAGAAGGCTGTGGAGATGAACATCCCTGTTGTGGTGCCGGAGTGGGTGGATGCTTGCGAGACAGAGGGCACCATTGCCGGTGTGCGTGGCTACTATCTCAATGCAGACCCCAAGGCCCGTCAACTGGGCGTGATCCACGGCTCGTCCCACCAGCGTACCACTTCTACTCTTTCGACTGCGACCAGTGCCAACCAAGGAAGGCTCAGCGCTCAGCCCCAACGAAGCCCTGCGCCAGAGCAGGTGCCCGAAGAACCTCCTCTGACTCCATTCCCTGGGGGTGAGACGAGTGGCCAACCCGAGGCGCAGACACAGACACAAGAGGTTGAATCACAAGATGGAGAAAATGACCTTCCGCCTCCTCCACCCCCGCCCAAAGATGAAGCCGAAGATTCAAATGAGCCTACTCAGAATGGGGAGGTAGAAGCATCACCTATTCCAGAGGCGAAGGGTGAGGAGCCTGAAGCGGCTGCCGCAGAGGAGAGCCATGAAGAGACAGAGAAAGAACAAACACTTCCACAGAACAGGCCCGAGGATGACTCCGAGTCAGCAAATCTCGAAGGCGCAAAGGGCAAAGGCAAAGAGGGCGAGGGTGACTTCAACGAAGTGCCTCTCTGAATGGCTCTCTGATGATCTATCCTGCTCTGTCCTTGCTTCGCGGTCAATCTCTTGACGTCCCTACCCTGCTTTTGTCCCCCTTGTCGACCAGCGTCTACGACTTTATCCAGTACAGTTTTACCTTGTTGTGGTTAGTGGCATGTCTCTTCACTTAAGCGGACAAACCATAGGATTCTTACGAACGTGCTCCGACTTTGATTTCTCATTTTTCTTTCTCATGTTTCGTGTTTGCTGTTATATGTACAGTACGCAATTTTATTTTTCTAATGCAGCCTTGCTCATTGACTCGATTGATTCGGTTTGCCTAGATAGAAGTTTGGAGACTGCCTAGATGAGTATATTGTAGATAAGAACACCAAAACTGCACGTATGGCTATGGGCCTCTAAATTGGAATTCTATCATGAAACGTCGTAAATCAGATGGGCCCGCCGGATGCAAAAAATCAGTAGTAGTCGGCAAAAAAAAAAAGCCCTGCCACTTTTGAGAGACCAAAATGCATATCGAAGCAGCCTAAACAAAATGAAGTTCAAAACAAATCCAGTTCGGACTCGTTTCGAATTTAGTTCTCGTTGCGAATAACATCGTCAATCGCCTGTGCGACGTAGGCGACGTTCTTTTGGCTCACTGTGCACAATGTCAGCTCGTGTTTATGAGTATGCATGATTTGGGGTTCTTACGGCCGCTGATAGATGCTCGGCCTGACTTGAGCAGGTAAATATGGTATTTGTCCTTCAAGGCGTAGACTTGCTTGGGGGAAAGACCGGTGTAGGAGAACATGCCGTTCTAATAAAGAATTAGTATATAGTATGTTACGCATATAGTAAAATCCAGATGGCTTACCTGCTGGATGATGTGCTCCCAAGTGCCGGGGGTCTGCAGACGGACCAGCTCGTTGTATAGAGCCTTACGCATGGCCTTGATACGCGAACTCATGACCTGCAAGTCCTGGTGCCAGTCGGCAGTAAGTTCTTCGCTGGTAAGAACCTTCTTGACGATGCTGCAGCCAACACGCGGGCCCATGGAGAACTCGCCGCGGATCAGGTGGCATAGGTTGTTCACAACAACATCGCGTATGCTGGTTGAGGCGCGGTTGGTGCAGTAGTGGAATGCACCAACGCGCTGGCCGTACAGACCGAAGTTCTTGGAGAAGCTCTGTGCCACACACATCTCCATGTCCGGCTTGTTATTGAAGAAGTAACGGACAGCCCAAGCGTCCTCCTCGACAGAGCCCGAGGCGAAGCCTTGGTAGGCCGAGTCGAAGAAGGGGAAGAGCTTCTTGCGCTCGCAAAGGTCAGCAATGGCAACCCATTGCTCCTTGTTGGGGTCCAGGCCAGTGGGGTTGTGCGCGCAGGCGTGCAGCAGCACAACATCGCCCTCCTGTGCCTCGGACTCAAGGGAGGACATCATGCCCTCGAAGTCGAAGGACCGGGTCGCGGCATGGTAGTACGGGTATGTCTTGCGGGGCACGCCGGCGAGCTCCCAAATGGTTTGGTGGTTGGCCCAAGATGGGTTGGACAGCCACACGGTGGGAGGCTTCATGTGGTGGGCAAGGAACAAGGCGCCGAGATGGTTAGCACCGGTACCGGCGACGGTCTGCACGGAGCCAATGCGTGCCTTGGCCTCTTCTTCGCCCTGCTTGCCCTCGAATCCGAACATCAGATCCCGTGCGATCCCTAGGAAAGGCACATCGCCCTCGATCGCAGTGTATTCGTGGCGGAAGAGGTCGTCGTCTACCACCAGCTCCTTCTCGGCCTTTTGCACGACGGGAAGGGGCCATGGCTTTCCATCGTCTGTCCGGTAGACACCCACGCCCAAGCTAACCTTCTGCGGGTGGGGATCGACTGCGTAGGCCCCGTTCAGGGCAAAGATCTCGTCCGGAGGCACCGGGGAAACGTTCAGACGGGTGTCAATTTTGCTCATTGTGATGTATATACGCTGCAATTGGGATTCCTGTGATCACTTTTAGGCAAGATGTGGCGAGGCCGCGGCGAATATAAGTCAGTAAAGATCAAAACT